TTTTTTTTTTTTTTTTCTTAGGCCATAATGGCATTAACAACATGGTTCATACATTATAGGTTACTGATCTTCATCTTAATTTGTTGTGGTAAGTTTTACTTTTTTTTTTTTTCGCACGAAATGAAGAGAGAGATGAGAAGGATTGAAATGTTCTAGAAATTTTTTCAAATATTTATGGTTGGGCAAATTATCAACGTTCATTTTGATTATGGAAAAAAAAAGAGGGCGGGAAAACTAATTTCTAATTTGAAATATATAATTGATAAATGTAAGCAGTATTAAAATTTATTAATGAATTGTTTTTCAGTAAAATGTAACGTAATTGATTGGTCTACAATACCAACACCGCCACGTTTCATTCATGAACCAAACGATCCTACTATTTATTTCACGTTAGAATCAACGCAAACTTCAAATGGCCATAATTTAGATTATTTAAAAGAACGAACATTAAGGTGCATTGCTAATGGTAATCCATCTCCTGGGTATGTCTTTTTTTTTTTAAATTAAAATATTCGTATTTAACATAGGATATATTGTAGACGTAATATTTTCATGTTTTTTTTAACGTTATATATATATATATATATATATAGCTAGAACGTGTCATGCATTATTAATATACGTTAAAATAATTAAATTAAATGTAAATGTTTGAAAAGATTTTGCAAAATTAACTTACAATAATGGGATAAAAATGGAATTTAAATTTAATGAGAATTTAATTGAAATCAGGAAGAAGAATTCAAAAATAGTTTAAAGTTTAATATTAAAAGATTAAAATTTTTAGATATAAATGGAAAAAGAACGGTAAACCGTTTAATTTAGCAATGTATTCGGATCGAATTGCTCAACGTCCAAGCGAAGGATCATTTGTTTTTCTAAATTAACTGCTGCTGATGAAGGTGTTTATCAGTGTGAGGCAACAAATGATAATGGTACTGCTGTCTCCGAGAAGATTACTCTGAGACAAACATGTTAGTAGTGTTCTCTTTAAGCTTCTTTACTATTGCAAATGCTAAAAGTTGAAGATTCTGCAAGTATTTCTTGAGATTTTTTAAATTTCGATATTATTGAAGTTATAAGTGATATTTATTATTACAAACAGTAGATAGAAGTATGTCAGCTTAAAGTTGAATATTTTTGGTTGATAAAGAGGACAGATAGATGATGACTTACCAATGAATTACCAAATTACATACGTGATGGGAATTTCTTCAATCAGAAAATTTTGACCTGAATCAGTTTCTCACCCAAAATATCGGTTATCATAAATTTGAAAACTATGAATACGATATTTGAAATAATGGACATTCTGGATAATTTTGTTTATTTCTTCATTAATTTTTAATTTTATGAAATGAAGGAATAAGGATTTGAAGATTTCCTGATTCATCTATTTATTTTGCTTTTCATTCATATTGTTTCAGTATCTATTTCATAAAATCATCAGTTAAAATTTCAGGGATACGGTACTTTCCGAAGGCTGAACCGGAGATTATACGTGTCGATTTAGGTGATCCATATCAACGAAATTGCACACCACCCGAATCAAATCCACCCGCTCGAGTTTATTGGATTTTTAAAGTGCACTTTTTGTGTTACTCTTATTTCCTTACTTAATTTTTGTTCTGCTTTGGTTAATTTTCCAAAGTGTAGAACTTATGAAAGCTGATAGTGAGGTAGACTTTATCAATTTAAAATTTAAATCTTTCGATTTAAAAAGATAAAAATATTAGATAAGAAGCTAACAATAATACTTCTCTTTATCTTATCTTATTCGTTTGTTTTTTAATTCTTTTGCAGGTAAATTTCTTTAATATCAATTGAATTCGGTGTGTAATATAAATCAAATTTATTAATATAAAATGAATTTAATATATGATCCTTCCATTTTTATTACAATGATAGAGGATGGAAGAAGGAAAAATTGATGATTATTATAGTTAAACTATTAAAAATACTTGTTTTATGGAAACTGGAAATGCTTACTGGAAATGCTTTTGATAAATCAAATATTAACTTTACAATTACTTATGTGATACTTTCCATCCTTTTCAAATAATAAATTTATTTCTTAAATTTTAATAAACTAACAATTTTTAAACAATATTTTAAGGAAATGAATAATCTAAATGATGAAATTTTAGGGTGATGAAGAAGGATCATTTGATTCAATCAATAGTTCACATATCTCAACAAATGAACTGGCTTAGTTTTTTTTTTTTCCTTTTTTTTAAAGAATTAAATATTCTTTTTTTCTTTCATAGTAATCATAACTGAATACATATGTACAGTTGAAAGGATATAGTTGGAAGCAATAACTGCAAATTTTTTTCGGGAAAGGTTTTTTGTAACTTTTTATTGTAACACTGTAACTTGTTAATATCTCAATAAACTTGGCTAAACTTTGACAACTAGCTAAACTTGGCTCTTTTTTTCCCTATGCATGCATATCTCTTATCACTATTGCTATAAGTGATCAGAACGAAAAGTTGCAATCATTTGAGATATTGTAAAAAGTTACTTCATAACATACTGCAA